TATTTCGCGATTTTGTCAGCAGAGGAGGTCGAGTTTTCATACTCACTTTTCTTTTTTTTTTTTTCTTTTGTCTAATTTACGGCACCGTTAAGACGGACCGGAAGCCAGCGCAATCCGCGTAAAAATAATCGGTTCGATCGCCAGTTTTATTTCCTTTTAGTCATTACAAATCCAGTAATCATTAACTCTAATTATTATTAATTTACGACGCTACGCAAAAGTCGAGTCGTTCGGAACTCGTCAAAAGTGCTACACGAATTTTTTCTTCTTCCTCGATGTACTTTACCGAACATTTTATCGACGTATACAAGTGAAGCAAAAACTTATTCTAAATTTTAATGTTGTAAAGAGAAGAAAAATAAGCTTTATGTTTGTTTTCGCGATAATAGCGTCGCGACAATTGACGCAAAAGGCTGACGCATTCCACACTTTTGTTTCTAATATAGGAGATTGACCTCATCGAAATTATACCGGTTTTGAAATGTCTGTGTCGCGGTGCAAGTTTTTCGATTGTTTGCTTGGAATAAAACGCGATTCCCACCACTCGGGGAATCGACGGGATCGACCCGGCGACTTAAATCTGCGAGCCGCCGCGGCAGGAAAAATCTTTAAAAATGCTGGCCCCGACGAAAAAAGCGCGCATGTGCAGCCACGAGCCATCTCTCTTCCCTTACTCTCCTCTTTCTCGTCTCCTACTACTCCGATGCGCTACGGGTCCTCCCGGCTTCGCTTTATGCGTTTCTCGCAGCCAAAACAAATCGTAAAGACGCCCGGCGGAGTGCAATCCCATGCTTGTTACCGAAAAATCAATGATATCAGCATTGGCGACTTTTCTCAAACACGAAATACCATTCCACGAAGTGCCGTATCATGCAATAGACGAAGAATTTTATGTTTTTACGACGTGTTTCCGTACACTGTTTCGCTAAGCATTACCGATATTTCCCGACTATTGATCGGTCTAGACATTTTTTTCGAGAAGAACCCGAAGACGTCGATTTTATCAAAGCCTTCATTTTCAAAATATCAACGAAAAAAAGGAATGGAATAAGAGTTACAAGAGCCAGTAGCTCGTAGGTAGATTATCTGTGACTGGTTTTTATTGGTTTTTGTTTTGCTTCTTTTATCGATTATAGATACATCTCAGAGCCTAATACATATTATCCTCTATATCTTGCACGTGCTGTAAAATTTTTCTACCTCTACAATCTTCTTGTATGTCGTCTTAACAACTATCCGTTTATGTCTCCATTCTCTCCTCTTTCATTGGTAAGCTCGTATAATTTCTGCCAAGATTTCTTTCCGATTTTTGTTGACACAAGTGTTACTAGTCTATCCAAGTGTCTCTCGGTTACCCTTACTTTAACTTGAAATGAGATATCGATACCACGGGAAATATTGACTGATGCGTGACTACGTAACACGTATTTAAGATTTTCACGTACAGAAGTATGTATTTCTATCTGTTATATCGTCTCTTTTAGTTTCAAGTGACGTGTTGAACGGGATTAACAAAGTTTAATTTGAGCGATTCATTTTTTTTTACGCGCATCTATTAGGAATTATTTGTAAATTGTTGAAATAGGAGAGAGTGTGCGGTGCTCTGGGATTTATGGTTCACCCTATAAGAACTTGAGTGATAAACCGGTCCGAGCGAACAAAACGTCATTCAGCAGGGATTCCCCGACATACGTGTGTTCCCGCGTTCTAATCGTCTGTATCGTCTGTATAATAATGCAACACTATCGAACAAGTACTATCATTTTCACTTGCTAACTATTCTTACCGAATTCCAAATTTTAACTTTAGCGACAGAATTTATTACTTTAAAGCTAGCTTTCCTTTATTGTAACAATTAAAAATGGATACATAAAAAATACACACACACACACACATTTTAGTCATATTTGTTTGGCTGATTTTTTATCTATGACTGAATAAATTTAAGTCATCATTTATGTTTAAGTATTTATGCCATTGAAAGCTTAAGCTTTGTGTTCGTTTGAGAACAACTCGTAAGTAAAGAGAAAAGGGAATAAAAGTAAGAGAGAACAACTCTCCGCAATACTCTCCAATGATATATCCATTTGTAAGTGTGACTCTCAAGAGTGACTCTCGACGGTATTTCTTTCAAATGAACAGTAGCCGCTTGTCTTTATGTGATTTGTGAAACATAACGCGCATCAAAATCAACTTCGGGATCTTACGATTGCTTAGTTGGTAAAGTTATAAGTGGATCGCGTCTCTCATTAAGCTCGGTCGGACTGCAGCAAAACTTGGAGTTCGTATCAACGCTTGCCAATGTTTATCCACGCAAATGCGAGGGAAATCGAAAGAATAATTTGGACATTTCTTTAACGCAATTTAGCATTAAGAACATTTTTTGAATAACCAGACACCAGGAAAGATTCTTGCGATGTAGAGAAAATTAATTTTTATCTTTGTTTCTTTTTTTGTAGTCTTCGTAAATATTAACTCATTTTGCGTTTGAATAATTGGTCAAATGAAGTATTGTTACGATAGTTACGTATTATTATTATCTGTTGTTATTATCATTGTGATTATTGTCACATTTATTTCTTTAAAAAATTGTAGTTATCTTCATCACAATTTTTTTAAATTTTACAAACATTTTACAAAAATTTTAGAGCAAACAAAAACATTCTTTTATTCTATTAATTAAACTTTTATTGCTTTTGATGTTTTTATCTTAATTGTCAGCTTAGTCAAGTGCACTTGCGGCTTAGAAAAACTTCTTGCAAAATTTCTTTTTACATGCTATGGCTAATGACTTCCTGGATGCGAAGGAAATTTGGACGATTGCTCCGGGATTCTGGATGTAATTAAGTGTTGCCGGACGGAGATTGAGTTTAATGAGACGTAGCGTCGCCTTGATAGCATAACTTGACGAATTTCTCGAAATATAAGTTGGCTTTATTTAGAGCAGATCAACGGATATATTGTAACTTTTCTAATACAGGAGTAGGTTATACATATATGTTAATTGTAAAAGATAAGAGAGATGGCGAATAAAAGCTGGACCGCAGATATTGATACGCGAAAATATTTACGTCAGTATATGATTGATGCTTCTATAATGATACAATTGCTTTGGCTTTTTTCCGCTATTGAGAAATATTGAAAAAAGTCTTTCAGATTTTTTTATTGTATATAATACATTTGGTTAGAGAAAGCGGTGCTTTGCAAAACAAGATTGCGCTACATTTAATTAAAAAATTCACGTTAATCGTGGAACTCGCGAAATGTTACGCAGAATTATATCAATGACGATAACGATACTCTTTTTCAGACCACGAATATCGCATTAGCGTCACTTTTCGACTGGTTGCCTTTCTCTTACTGCGATAATGGGATATTACGATGTTATCGCATCGGAGATTCTCGAAATAGTTAAATGCAATTATGCGATGGGATAAACTTGGAACTGCAATAAACTAATCGCAACGTACTCGAGTAACGATGCAGTATTATCTTAACAAATAACGTACGATTACGTAACGAGTAAATATAGCACAGTAAAAACGATTAACTATAAATACAATTGATTCACTTGCAAACGATTGGTACGTGTTGAATCGCGATATGATTTTTTAATATTTTTCTCCGACACAAATTTATGTATCGATGAACTTCACTAACAAGTATTTCCAAGTCTTATCGTTATCTGTCATATGACATTAACCATCGCTACACATCACACACCGCTTCGATCTTTGCGTCCTTCTATATACACATTCGTTTAAGTTTTTCGTTTTTATATTTTTCCATCTCTAAGTAAATTAGTATTTGTCCTACTTTTAATCAATTTTTCAAAGAAAATAAATTATCATCAAATATTTTTGTGTGCAGTTCTGATTGATATAAATTGCGAATCTTATAGATCGTGACTTGTTGCGTATCCAGGCGATAACTTCCGTTGGAATGCTTTTCATGAAGAAACAATATTGCATCAGATGAATCATTCAACAAAGCAAAAGTAAAAAATTACTTTTAACCGTCCACGCAAAATGCAAATTAAGTGACAAATCCGAAATGGCAAATAAAAGAAAATGAAGACTGATGTAATTAATCCGATAAGAAGAGGAATGCCTCGCGATATTGCGTAACATAAATTCCGTAATCGTAAAACGACTTAAGCCGTTTTATTCCTCGCAACGTAATTACGCGCGATAATACCGATTGGGCGAGACACATGTCTTAAATAAGCGTCTTAAATAGCGTGGCAAAGTTTAATTAAAAACTTGGCGCGATATGATTACCTTCCCTTGTGTTTGCTTCTTATTTTTGGTTAATTGTAATCGCATCCGCCTTTGTTACCCGCATATTTAGAAAAATTAACGAATATAAAAAATAAATTAAAGCAAATGCGCTTTATGATTGTAAAGAGTTCCGTCTTATTCGAGCGTCCAAGGATAGAATTTTTCAAGGATTCAGGAATTCAACGAATCGAGCACGTGATTTTGTATCGCGTCTGTACCTTTAGCACTTTATAAATATCAACACGATACGTAGTTCATAGATTCGACCTGCATAACAGCGATTGAACTTGTGAAGCGTGAACCGGACGTGTCTGTCCATGCGTGACTAGGAACGTGGTCTGATCTGATATTCTAGAGCGTGCATTCTAAGATCGAAGATTCTAAAGATGCAAAACATCTACGATTCGTGGCCCAATTTCGAATAACGTTATTCTTAAAGGCCAAAATTGGCCAAAGGATGCACCTGCAAAATTTAGTCTTATTTTACGAGTACTATATATATAATTATCTATTCGTACGATATTCATATTAAACGGTATAGAAAATTCAAGACGATAATATTCGAGACAATGATCGTTTCCGATAAAATGAAACGTTCCATTGTATATAAATGAAAAATAAAAAACATCTCAAATGAATATTTCTTTTCTTACACAATGACGCGCTATCATGTTAGCACCCGCCTAACTGCGAATCCTCTTCTGCATTGTTTACTTGCAGATACTGGCGCGCCCTACGTATTGTACAAAGATAACATGGAGAGACCCCAGGGTCAGTGGGGCCCGGGGCCGGGATCTCTCCAGGACGGTGGACTGTACCCGCAGCAGCAACAACAGCAGCAGCAGCAACAGGGTTCCTCCTCGTCGGGAAGTCCACAGCAGGCCTGTGGACCTCCGGTCGAGGGTGGCGAAAGTGGTCCCCCGCCCTCGTTAGCCTCGCCCGTGCCCTCACCATATCCCTCGGCGCCTCCCGAGCCTCAATCCTTGACGCCGCCGGACGATGACATACAATCAAGTCAAGCCACGTCCCAGCAACAGCAACAACAGCAACAACAACAAACGCAGCAGCAGGTCCAGCAGCAGCAGCAGCAACAGCAGCAGCAGCAAGTTCAACAGCAATCTCAGCAGCAACAACAAACGCAACAGCAAGATCACTCGCCGCAACAACAATTAACTCCTCACGGAGAGGTGGATCGCAGCGACTGCTTTCCTGGCGCCGGAGAGCTGCAGCAATATCCGCAGCATTATTTCAAAGAGGCTCGGCCGCACCCCTCACCGTCCGTGCCACCGCATATGCTCACGCCCGGCGGCTTCTCCGCGCTGCACTATCTCAAGCAACCCGGAGTAATGCTGACGTCTCTCGGCCAAGGCGACGGCGGGCCCGGTCTGGATGCGCACCAGTACGCGAGTCCGGGCGCGCCGAACATGGGGACCGGACTGCCTGACATCGTGCAGCAGAGCGGCAAATCGTCCAAGGCCGGTAACAGCGATCTACGTCTGTTCAAGTGCTTGACCTGCGGCAAAGACTTTAAGCAGAAGTCAACTCTGCTGCAACACGAGCGGATCCACACAGACAGCCGGCCGTACGGATGTCCAGAGTGCGGCAAGCGGTTTCGTCAACAATCCCATCTCACGCAGCATCTGCGCATACATGCTAACGAGAAGCCATACGCTTGCGTATACTGCGAGCGTACATTCCGGCAGCGTGCCATCCTCAACCAGCATCTGCGCATCCACTCGGGTGAGAAGCCATACCAATGTCCGGAGTGCGGAAAACACTTCCGTCAGAAGGCGATCCTGAATCAGCACGTCCGCACACACCAAGGCGAGCATTTCTCTCTGCCTCCCAGACTCCCCAGAGGGCGTCCATCACAACCAAACACTGACCCACCCACCGGTTCTCACTCATTACTATCGCAACCACCGTCGCCACCGTCACCATCGGCATCATCGCCATCGTCGTCATTATAATCATCACGTTCATTACCGCCGGCGGTACAATAACCCGCATACTAACGATTCATCTCGATTCTCACCTGACCATTAGCACCAGTGGCGGATTTACGGCTCGAGAACGAGCAAAGAGTTAATAAAGTGACGGAACAATGCGTCTTGAAATAATTTACGCGGGGGTAAATTCACCGCTGGTCTACATTATCTATATCCCTCACCAGCTTGCCGGAACGCGTTTTTTGTTTTAAAAGCTTCCAGAACTAACAACGACTTACCAAAGACAAGACCATTGGCCTCGTTGAAGCTAAGGCCAACCGGCGGGTAAGAACGGTTGAGCTGGACGCGACAGCGCTGGTGAGCTGTGAGATAGAGCAGTTCCCATCCTTATTCTATGCGATCTGACTTGTTGATCCATCTAACCCGACTGCCCTCTAATATAACTCTAGTTCCTCGCGTGTCCCTCTGTTTAAAGTGAACATCGGCCTACTATTGATAATTATTTTCTCTAACATATCTTCCCGTATACCTACTAATTATAATAACTTTCAATGGGGACCGCGATAAATTGGTTTATGGTAATTTTCCAAACAGCACAAAAGTTTAAAAGACATATAAACACTGTCGAATAAAGCAGAATATCTGAATAAACTTAAACTTTCTTGAACATTTGTGTTGTCTGGATATTTTCATTTAATTTGAGCAAACATTTACATTAGGTCGCGCTTGACTCGTGCTACAATGGCCTGTAGATAAATTTTATCCTGTATCATTAAACCGTAATCCGGGCTACTAACGTTCCTCTTCCCGTCCATCGTGGAATACCGCCGATGAACCGTGGACCGTTCTCTCGTTACAGACGTGAGCCCACACCTCATCTTCAAGAACGGAATGACGCCGACTCTCTGGCCGCAGGACGTTCCTTTTCCGCCCGAAGAAGGTAAGGAGGAGGTGGCGTCGACATTCGGTGACACGGACACGCAGTCGGGTGCGTTCAGTCCGGCGCCGGACGCCAATTCCATCCAGTATCCAGCATACTTTAAAGATCCAAAGGGTGGCAATCACGCGGTCTTTGGCGCAGGTGGCTCGGGCAGTTTCGGCGCCTTGCAGTACATCAAGCAGCAGGGTGGCACGAAGAGCTGTCTACCCGACGTGATACAGCACGGCCGTTCAGCCGGCATGCCGTTGTACGTGCGTTGTCCGATCTGTCAAAAAGAGTTCAAGCAGAAGTCCACGCTGCTGCAACACGGGTGTATACACATCGAATCGCGGCCGTATCCTTGCCCGGAATGCGGCAAGCGATTCCGGCAACAGTCCCATCTCACGCAGCATTTACGTATCCACACGAACGAGAAGCCGTACGGTTGCGTGTACTGTGGACGCAACTTCCGCCAGCGCACGATTCTCAATCAGCATTTGCGTATCCACACCGGTGAGAAGCCTTACAAGTGCCAGCAGTGCGGCAAGGACTTCCGCCAAAAGGCGATCCTGGACCAGCACACGCGCACTCATCAGGGCGATCGGCCGTTCTGTTGTCCGATGCCCAATTGCAGGCGGCGCTTCGCCACCGAGCCCGAGGTGAAGAAGCACATCGACAACCATATGAACCCGCATGCGGCTAAAGTGCGCCGGAACTCGAGCGGTGACTCGAAACCGCCCGGTACACCCGCGGGCCTGGGTCCGGTACCTGTGCCCCGCGGCCTCACGCCGACGGTTGTCAAGCCGGAGCTCTACTTCCCGCAGTGCTACGCGCCCGCCTTCAACCACCAGCCGCCGGTCTCCACCGCGCAATTCCCCGGCGCCCAGGCGAACGGCGTGTCTGTGACTGGCGAGTTCAAGCCGCCGACCGGTCTGCCGCCGCAGTGACTAACCGTCCATCCTGCCGCCTATTAGCAAGCAGGAATCCCCGCGCTGAGGTTTCAGCGCTGTTTCGGTCCCGCCGCGTTGGAGGCCGACGCAACGTCGAACGCCATCGCCGCCGCCGCCGCCGCCGCCGCCGCGTCTCGATGTGGCCAGCAGCCGATCCAGCAACACTACCCGTGACATTTATCATTGTGCATTTACTAGAGTCTCCTTTATTTTCGTCGTTTCACAACTCGTTCGCTCTTCTTGTTCTATCGCTGCTTAGCAGAGCCTCGGAACACGTCGCCCAGCTAGCCTTGAGCTCGACGGTGAGAACGGTTTCGTCGCGCAGACCGTATAACGCGAATATCCGAGAAACATTGCGAAAATGTTCACTAATCGGTCGCGCTACGCCTCTGGTTAACTAATCGGATAATATTATCTCCGAGAGAAAATTGCTTTTTCTATCTGAATCATAGCACACGGGCTATGATGTAAATAAAGAAATATAAATTTCGGGGATCATTCGAGTACTTGTTTGACACAGGTCTTGGATTTTCGCGTTGTTTGGAAAGTGGAAAGGTTTTTGACCGGATCTCCTGTGACATTCGTCGTAAGTGTCGTCACATACGTCGAATGACATCGCGAAAAGACGACAATCTCAGTTAGAAATATCGCTATCGTTACATTATCGTTACCAAGTAACAAACGATGCGATTATACTTGCTCAGGTATCAATCGGTGACTCGCGACACTCAAACTCACTAGTAAGTTTGTGATACATTTTCTTTTTTATGGTATACGCGATCGCGACGTAATGTTTGTTTTCTTCGCGATCATTCGTTATTTTCGGCTTTTCAAGCGCGTCGGATTAGATTGACTCTTTAGAGATCTCAAGATTAATGCTTAGTTATTGTTGGCGCACACCGTTGACACGACTAGTTAATTCGCCAGCACACGCAAATACCGATTCTTGCTGCGATCTGCAGTCGTCCTCCAAGTCGTCGATCTCGCATGAAGGACAAGCGACACGAGAGGGATACGGAAAAACTCGGAAAAGCAGCCGCCGCTCACCGTCGAGTTTCTCACTAGCCAAGGTAAAGTAACCAACGAAGAGTCTCGTCTATTCCTCCGTACGTATTTTTTATAATTAATCGATTACGACGTACCTTCTCGCGTTTCTTTCGTGGACAAGCGAATAGCACGAGAGTTCGGGGCTTGCTTCGCGAGACGTAGGCGGATTCAAAGAGATTGACAAGTGAATTGCCACGAATCCCTTTAAATCCGCCTATTGTTTCTCGCGGGATGGTGCACGCGCCATCCGGGGCGTCACCGCTCACCGTTCAAAATGCCACGTATCGCCAAACGGGTTGAAGATGTTCGATTTCGACCAGACTAAAACGATTGTGATACAATATTTAACTTGCCTATGTTTTAAAAGTTTCGCGGGAGAGAGAGAGAGAGAGAAAGAGTGAGTGAGCGAGTAAGTGAGAATGAGAACGATATAATAGGTGTATGACCGTTCATGGGTAGGTAGAACGGACTAAACTGAATCGAAAAGTCCTCTACCATTTTGCAAAATTCGCAATCGTAAACGAGACATTAATTTTTGAAGATTGACGAATAAACGCGTATTCATTCGGCCCACCGCTGAATGCAAATGCGTGGCAAGATAAGTAGATTAAACTGAACAAAAAAGTCCTCTACTATTTTGTAAAATTCGCATTTATTGACGAGATATTAAGTTTATTCGCCAATCTTCAAAAATTAATATC